CTCCGGCTCAAGCGGGAATGCTGTCTGTCGGGGAGGGAGTGAATCCCTGTCTATCCAAGATTGGAGGTAGTAGTAAGGGGCACGAAGGCAGAAGAAATTACAACTGTTGGTGCTAGCGTCGGTGTTGACTTCTCCGTCCATCCCCTCGACATTTTCAAAGTAACCACCATAACCACTGGCGCTAGACACTAGACGAGTGGTCACCATCTGGCATTCCGGTCAGTAAATGAGATAAAAAGCCGTATGTCACTCACGTTTCCCTTAACAGGTCCTGTGTCATCATCATCGTCAAACACTCCGATCGCAATCGCTTCCCAACCGTGCCACTGTTCATGACTAAAGGGAAAGTAAGGTCCAGGGGCTATAGAACCTTCTTCGACGGCCTTCTCGTAACCCGTATTGTCACCCGAGTCCTCCTCATCATCAAAGAGTTTTAAAAGCTTCCGAAGCTCTTCGAGTATATCCTTCTTTCGCAGTCTATATTTGATTTTCTGTTCTTTGAGGCTGTCGGCGATCATATTCAAGCATGCATCACGATCTACAAATAGTGATGTAGGACCTCCACCTGGTCGCAAGCCACAAATGAGACAGAGTTCATCCCAGCATCCCATGATGGTTCGAGTTATCAATGAGGTTCTAGAGGAGTGTTGTCGACGAAAGCGGAATAGACGGAATAAAGGGCGCGGAAGTGGACGCTATGGTATAAACCACACAAGAAATAGTTCGAAGTTGCTTGATCCCAATCATTTCCTAGTCTCCTTTATACGTCTAGTAGGTCCAGTTCCACCGGCCATACTGGCCGACTTGCCACATCACAGTATAATCACTATTAGCGCGTGAAATAAGCATGTTAGTACCAGCCATCATCGTTGAGATAAGTTATTCGTACTAACCGGATAATTATGCCTCTTCTCGAGTATGCCTGAGAACTAGGACCACGAAAGCCTTCTGCTGAAGTCTCTCCCTTGAACCAGTAAAGGGAAAATGGCGCTCTCGACATGTGGCAAAGAATCCCCGATGCCCTCTGAACGAAGGAGTATACATCTCACTGATGCGTTGGACGGCCAGCGTTGGCCGACATTTTGATATGATCTACGAGATGAATATTCATGCAGTGTTTCGATTCTCAAATGTGATTTTGGCCCATAATAACGGTTGAAAGGTATTGTTGGGATACAGTCGGTCATGGGTCGAGAAAGGACCGTTCGGCGGCAGTGCTCGGACGCATCAACGATGAGTACCAGCAAAACTATATTGGTGTTCTATACATGAGAAGTTGCAATCAAAACACTTTAGGAAGCAAAGCATTATCATTGAAGTGTCAAAATTTGGGGGTCCGGACAAATTCAGAAAGCTCATCATCGTTAGGATTTTAAGTAGAAGAGCGATACTTTCCCCTCATCCTCTTCATCAACAATCGTTTCATCACCATTCGTATTCTCCTCATAAGAGGTACAAATCGCTCCTTCGTTGGCCTCATCAATGAGTCATTTGTCGTCACTCTTGTACCCTTCAGTTCTATATTTGTACCACTCCTGACGAAATTGTTGAGATATCCTCCAAAGTCTCCTTCTGTTTTTCATCGAGTCAGAAGAGTAATTGGCTCGGAAGAAGTCCAAGGTAGGAAAGTCTGGGTCGAATATCGTCGAGTTGCATGACGATTTTAGCCGGGTTGCATTTGGTCTGAGATATTTAGACTCTTTGCACGCCTTGAGAAACTTCTCGACCTCGCCCTCGACATTAGCGACGGGTAAGAACCAATAGCAATCGCTGAGGGGGAGACGGAACTGAGTTCGCAACCACGTAGAAAGAAAGGCATGTCCACCGAACTTGCGATAGAAATACCGGCAGGAAGATCCGAATGATAGAACTTCTTGAATGGATAGATTGCAAAGAACTTCTATGACGATCTCTACTGGAACGGTTTTCCAGTGACCAATGCCTCTAACGGATCGAGCTACACGAATGCCTGTAGAGCTGTGGATAGATGGGTTCATACTAACCCATCTGGGCTCATGATCTCAGTCAATGATGGAACAGGAAGGCAGGTGATCGTACCTGTCCGCTGGGCAGGTCTGCCAGACATTGAAATCCCGAAGAAGTGCTGGTATCAGGTCGTTACCTCTCCGTCCACACTTCAGAGCTCGACCCAACTCATTAGCTCCAGTAAATACCCGACAAAACGTGTCTTGCCACTGGTCCAGGGTCAAATCTATGCCTTCATAATCTATCTCCTCCAATTTCCCAGTGTATTCCACTGATAGAATGTTAATTCAAAGCCAATTGAAACGTTAAATAAATAGGACCCACTTCGCTTTAATCGATAGTGAACAATCTCATAGAACTCGCCTTCAAAACTCATATCCGGTTCGAGCGGAAATGTTGCTTGCCGAGGAGGAAGAGAGTCCCTGTCAATCCAAGATTGAACGTAGAAATATGGTCCGCGGAGGCAGAAGAACGCATCGCTACTAGCGCTAGCGTCCGTATAGACTGCTACATCTGATCCCTCGACCCTGCCGAACCTTCCTCCAACTTCGGTCCAATGGGTGACGAGGCGGGTGGTCACCGCCTGTAATGTAGTCAACAGATGAGATGTCGATCGATTGTTTGCCACACACCTTTCCTTTCCCAGGCGGACCGTCACCATTAGATTGTTGGTCGAAAATGCCAATTGCGATCGCTTTCCACCCATCCCAGTTATTGCGTTCGTATGTGAATGGAAAATAGGACCCAGGCGATATGGAGCCTTCTTCGACGGCCCTCTCATAATTCGTAGGTATATAGAAGTCTCCGCCCTCGAATAGCGAGAGAATTCTTTTAATATCTTCGATTAGCTCATCATCATCCTCATAAGATTCTATTTTAATTTTCTGCTTTTCGAGGCTTTGGATGATCATGTCCAAACATTTCTCAAGTTCTCCGCAAAGTAGGCGAGGTCCTCCACCTGGTCTCAGACCGCAAATGAGACAGAGCTCATCCCAGCATCCCATAGTGTTTAATTGAGTAATGGAGTTTTGGAGCAATAGCGCAGATAAGGGGGAGCGTAGGTTGGGCTTTCGGCGCTAAAGGGAACCACGGATGGCAGCCTATGCACGGTATCTTAGTATGGGTTTCGGGAACTAAACCTGCATTGATACCCTGGTACTTATAAATCTCAATTAGCCGCTCTACACAGTACAGAGCCGAACGGCCTAGGCTATTATCGGAGAGCACTAGCTATAATCAGAGAAACAAGGCATAGGGAGTCGAGGATACATCTACTACATTACCCGATATTTTCGTCAAGCAACCAATGCCACCGTCCACAAGGTACAAAAGGTTGATCTCGGTTTGGTCTTTGGTACTACCATCTCGACTCTACATCAAGGTTACGCCACTTTCTGAACTGCTCGTTTTCCTCTACTCTGTACCGGTACCATTCTTCCCGAAATTGCTGAGATATTTTCCATAGCCTTCTTCGGTTCCTCATCGAGTCCGTGCGGTAGTTGGTCCGGAAAAACTCTAGGAGAGGGAAATTGGCAGAGAAAATTGCCGATACATCGGCGGGTTTTGAGTATGCAGATTCGGCTTGAGACGGGTTTGAGTCGTTGCATGCGGCGTAGAACTTGTCAACCTCTCCTTCCACAGTTGACACGGGGAGGAACCAATGAAACTCATCGAGAGGACGGCGAAGACGGGTTCGTAGTAGCCGAGAAAGGAAGAATGGACTTCCAAAGTGGTGGCGTAGGAATTTACAGGTAGATGTAAAAGAGAGGATGCTCTCAATTGGTATATTCAGGAGGATTTCGAAGATGATTTCATCTGGAAGGATGCCCAAAGGGCCAACGGTTGTAGTTCCGTTGGATACTGGGGAATAGGTAGACGAGAGGATGAATAGATCTGCCTTAACCCATCTGTAATATCTTTTAGCTAGGAATAAATTCGAGAGTGTATATGCATACCTATCAGGTGGACATGTTTGCCAGACGTTGAAATCATTGAGTAAAGCCGGAATCAATTCGTTTCCTCTCATACCAGATTCTAAAGCGCTATCCAATTCGAAAGTACCCTTAAATCCAGTAGAGAAATGGTCATGAAATTGCTCAAGACATCGCTCTATGCCTCCATACGATATACCGGGCAATGGTCCGGAACAATCCCCTGCTGATTTGTTAGCGCCTAAAGTAATCCAGTACATAATGACTCCA